TGTGTTTATTTCAGAAATTCAACAGAAAAGTCTATAAGGCAGAATGTCAATTTTTAAAAATTTTTTTCTTATTTCTCCAAGAAAAAGTGAAAATCATTCTTAATTGCCACCAATATTTTCCGTTTTTACCCCCATCCCCAACACTGTCACTTCTTGGAGGTAGTCATTGCTAACCCCTTAGTACGTATCCTTCAAGATCTGTTTTGCAATACCTATTTGCCCTCGCTTGTTAGCAGTTCATTTACTGTGAGATCCATTTCTTTTGGAGGCCCCCACACTGGGTTGGTGGTGCCTTTGTCTATCAGTATTGACTCGTCAGCACTATCATTAGTGAGGAGTGCATGTGCGGATGAGTCAGACTTGTACCCTGGCATCATGTGGTTTTCAGTGCAACAGAAGACAGATGTATACAGTGATAACTGTAATACAAGATGAAAGATATATAAGAGAGGAATAGATGAAGTGCGGTGGGATCCATAGGGCAAAGAAAATACATTTGATTGGCCAAGAGGTGATATTTGAGGTGTACCCTGAAAGATAAGATTTGCACTGCGGGGTGGGGGGAGGCAAAAAGCTGATGTACTTGCAAGAGAAAGGTATAGAGATGCAAGGAGTTTATAGAGTTATTCCATTTTCCTAGGTGGTAGCATGCATATATGGGAGTAGCAGATAAAGATGTAGAGGTTGTTTGCTGAAAATGATGGTTTCCAGCTGCATCCATGTCCCTACAAAGGACACAAACTCATCCTTTTTTATGGCTGCATAGTATTCCATGGTGTATATGTGCCACATTTTCTTAATCCAGTCTGTCACTTGGGTTGATTCCAAGTCTTTGCTATTGTGAATAGTGCTGCAATAAACATACATGTGCATGTGTCTTTATAGCAGCATGACTTATAATCCTTTGGGTATATCCCCAGTAATGGGATGGCTGGATCAAATGGTATTTCTAGTTCTAGATCCTTGAAGAATCGCCATACTGTCTTCCACAATGGTTGAACTAGTTTACAGTCCCACCAACAGTGTAAAAGTGTTCCTATTTCTTCACATCCTCTCCAGCACCTGTTGTTTCCTGATATTTTTATGATTGCCATTCTAACTGGTGTGAGATGGTATCTCATTGTGGTTTTGTTTTGCATTTCTCTGATGACGAGTGATGATGAGCATTTTTTCATGTGTCTGTTGGCTGTATGAATGTCATCTTTTGAGAAGTGTCTGTTCATATCCTTTGCCCACTTTTTGATGGGGTTGTTTGTTTTTTTCCTGTAAATTTGTTTGAGTTCTTTGTAGGTTCTGGATATTACCCCTTTGTCAGATGAGTAGATTGCAAACATTTTCTCCCATTCTGTAGGTTGCCTGTTCACTCTGATGGTAGTTACTTTTGCTGTGCAGAAGCTCTTTAGTTTAATGAGATCCCATTTGTCAATTTTGGCTTTTGTTGCTGTTGCTTTTGGTGTTTTAGGCATGAAGTCCTTGCCCATGCCTGTGTCCTGAATGGTATTACCTAGGTTTTCTTCTAGGGTTTTTATGAGGTTGTTTAGAGGGGACTTTGAACACCTCTCTAATAAACCTTTGAGAATTTCTGAACAGGATAGTAACTAGAGATATGCTTTAGGAATATTAATCAGGCACTGGAGCGGGTACAGTGTCATCACAGGCTTTGCAGTCACTTGGAAGAAAAGTTCTCACAATGAGGTGTACTGGCCAAAGAGCTATTGCTTAAAAGGAACCCGTAGGTCTTAGCAACTAGTGTATCCCATCAAGTCTAAGAAGGCCTTAGATTGTAAGACACACCTTATTTGACGTGCCAGTAAGGGAGACAGAACACCACCAATTATAAAATGCATCCTGACTTCAGAGATCACAATAATGAAGAAATATGTATTATAAAAACAGTGAAGTAAGATCACTGTATGGGCACATGGAAAAGATGAGATATGCAGGAAAGAAAGGAGAGAGTTGAGAAAATGAAAGGAAGGGGAATGAGGTCAAAGACAAAAGCGGAGAAGTTGACCTTCAAGAGGAGGAGAATGCATGCATCTTCCTCTGCTATAAGACAAATGAATGAGTAATGCTTAGAACAGTGTACAAGTTGAGAAGCCAAGCAATTAACTCATATTAAATAATCTCCATCTTCATAAGAGAGAAAGCAAGGTCATCTGCAAAAAGTGACAGTGGTCAATTTGAGGGCTTGGGGTAAGAGAGTGCAAAGTTTTCAGGTAAATGGGGCAGGAAAGATGGGATATGAAAGGCAATTGGTTAGAAAAGACCAAAAGAATTCCGAACAGAAATGAGGGTCTCAGTTAAGGTTGAAAAATGTGGATTTATTAAAAAACCAGTTGGCCCTATTTTATGACTTTGTCCAGGAACACTTGGTCCCCTGAGAAAAGGATGGAAGAAAATAAATGGAAGTTGCTTTCTGCAGGGTAGGAGATTGACTGGACAGGTATGGTGGAAGGACAGAAAAGCTAAAGAACCTAGTTTCTCTAAGGGAAGTTGCTGATTTCGCATGCCATGGAGTTCAGGCTAAGAAATGACAGGTGAAGCCCAAAGAGGAGTGAAAAACAGAGATTGTTTTTGTTTTTGTTTTGTTTTGTTTTTTTAACTGGTGGTTGGGGGAATTAAGGAGTTAAAGAAAGTGCAGAACAAATTATTTTGAAGAGGAGGCATAGGTAAATACAAAGTTGACTGGGGAATTTCAGAATTGAAGATCATGGAGGTAGAATTTCAAGGGTTAAGCCTTGAAGATAAAGTGTTGTCTTTTAAAGAACAGATGGGAGTATATCTCTGTGTATCTTGGAAACCTCGAAGGCACCCCGTTTATTTCAGTATGAAGTCTTCTTGAGGAACACACAAGGGTCTTCACAAACTGGCCCCATCTCACCTTTCTAGGCCAGTATCTCATTGCTTTGTACAAGCCCTATGTTCTAGCCACATTTAACTCTTCTCTATGCCCAGAATCCTCAAAAGCTTTTATCTGCTATTTTGCCTTTGCATATGCTGTTCCCTCTTAAATAAAATGCTTTTCCTCCTCTTCTCTGCCTTGCAATCTCCTGCACATCCTCTAGACCTAATTCAGATGGCACTCCTCAGTGACGCCTTTCCAGGCTCCTGCCAACAACACTGAGCACACATTCATCCACGCTCCCTCAGTGCTCTGTCCATACATCCTATGGCATTTCACCACAGGGTGTTGACTTACTTGTCTCTCTCTAGTGGACTGTGAACACTTCGGAGTCAGAAACTATATCATCTTTCTTTATCCACAGTAACAAGCACATATTAGGTACTTAGTATCTGCTTTTTGTTAAATTTTGTGTAAATGAACTCATCCAGAACATCTCAGAAGTTATGACCTGTGCATTTAGGTCACCTGGAAATCTTGTTAAAATTCAGATTCTGATTTAGTAAGTCTGAGGTGGGGTCTGAGATTCTGCTCTTCTAACTGGCTCCTAGGTGACAGCCATGCTGTTAGTTCTCAGAGTTAATCCAAAGCTTCTTAGCCTAAGTAAATAGCAGACATAGAGCAGAGACAGAAGCCATTAGAAATGTGAAAGTGAAGCAATTATGAGGGTAGTGACTTGGAAAAATCCTCAGTATGCACACTGGAGTCCCAGAAATGACAGCAGAAAATTGTGCAGGAAGAGATGCTCAAATAAAGCAGAAGACCATGGTGGAGGGTGGTAGTTGACAAGACTGGGAGGATATAGCTATATGACGTAAGTTTTACAGAAGAAAAGGTAGTTAGGTGGGGACAGCTGCTGTGAGTCAGGACTACATCAGATGAGACATCAGATGAGGTTAAATAAATAACTAACTACAGTGAAGGCATGCCCTCCGAGGAAGAGTGGGCGGTGAGAGGAGGGAGTCAGTGTTAGGAGCTAGGTTTGCAGGTCATCGTCAGGAAGGGCTGGGGCCTCCAGTGCTATTCACAGTAGGATGGCATTTCCACCAGTGCAGACAGGAGTGCTGAAGGCTTAAGAAAGGCTGGATTACAGAGAAAGGGAAACCCGTGAAAAAATGGTAGGTGCTAGAATTTGACAGGGGCCCATTTCCTGATTGGAAGTTTCCAAGTTGAAACCATGAAAGTTCTCCTTTTCTTTTTTTAAACTCATGGGTGACTGAAAAAGTAGCACTAATAAGCATTCTATTCCCACATGCAGTCTGATGGGTCTGAGAATTCTAAGGATGGGTTAAGTAAATTTATTCTTTCTTTAAAGTACTATTGTTCTTTAAAAAGTGCAAAAGTAATACATACTTTTTTAACAAATGAAAAAGAAAATGTTTAAACTCCTCCCACTAAGCCCCCTCCCCACAAATCAGTAACCAGTATTTAAGCTTACTGTGTAGTCTTCCAGCTTTCATCTATGCAAACTTATGTACACATAGGAATTTTTAAATTCTGTAATGATATTTTCATATTATTATTGGTATAATACCAATATTGAAAATAACAGTGTTTTCAGTATTATTCTGCGGATAGTTTTCCTCACTTAGAAATATGTCATAAACATCCCTCCAGGTCAGTGGACAGAACTCTAACTTATTTTTTCCTACTAGTTTTAAATAGCAATGTATAAGTATAGATATCCCATAATTTGTTCTGCCATTCTCCTATTGATGGATATGTGGGTAATTTCAAATTTTTGCTATATCAATGACATCTTTTAATGAAGCACAGCAGTATGTAGACCTGTTCTGTCCGATATAATAGCCACTAGTCACATGGAGCTATTCAAATTTAAATTAAAATTAAATAAAATTCAAATTCCATCCCTGACATTAGCCTCCTTTCAAGTGCTCAGTAGCCATTTTTGAGTTTTGGCTACCATACTGGACAGCATAGAAGATTCTACTCTCACAGAACATTCCATTCAACAGCCTGGACCTAGACACTTACGTGTGGCATCTTACAGCACATATTTTTCAACGAGTTAGTGTTTTAATGAGAGTATGTTTGAAAAATAAAAACTTTGTGTTTGTATTGGTTGCCTCTGCAGTTACTTCAATGAGAATCAATACCCAGATGAAGCAAAGAGGGAAGAAATTGCAAACGCTTGCAATGCAGTTATACAGAAGCCAGGTAAGGTCACAGGCACAGCCTTGCTCTGCGGTGGTGCAGCACAGCGCTTGGTTACAGGTTGACATCTAGGACAGTTAGTCTTGTGCGTGCGTTGGCATAGTGCTCCCAGCTCAGTCTGTGCCATCCTTCAGCAGGTGGCCAGTGCCCTGTCCTGCTCACACAGTACTTCTGAGGGATGTTTTTATGGTACTCAAAATCAAATGCTCACATAGGAGAGTTTTCAAGGAATGACCCTACATGAGATATGAGACCTTGAAATTACTATTTTTTTAATGTGTAGATTTCCTTTTCCAAGAATTTAGCTAAAAGATACTATGAAACAGTGTTAAAGTTTTAAATATTTAAGCAAGCTTTGTCAATATAAAATTAAGATAGAATTTTTTAGAACAATTGTTATAAATTGTAAAATGCTGTATTTCTCTTTGGGAAAAGAATTCTTTTTGTAGTTAGTTTCTATCTCCTTTACACATTGAGATGACTTCTGCTTGCTTAGCTAAGAAAAATTTAGGGCAGGTACCATTTTGAAGTTCTGTTGTTCCAAACTCAACAAACCCATTTAAATATTTCAAATGTACTTTCTTCCTTGTGCTAAAATATTATTTCACATTTTACAGATTTTGTTAAACATAAACCATTTTCAGTTAATAGATCCAATTGATTTCCATGTGGCCAGTTATTTTGATTGGCCTAAAGGCTACATATGAAAGTATCAGTGTTTTATAAAATTAAGTAGACCTTCATTCTCCCTCACCCAGAAGCCAGACTTCTAGCAATGTAGACCCTACAAACTCTGCTCCAGTGACACATAAGTGAAAGGAATCTGTACCCTGTTTCAAACATGCCAAAAGTCCCAGCCCTAAAGCTGTGCAGAAACTTGAACTCTCCCTGGAACATGTTGCCCTCGTATCATCAAGACCCTAACAAACCTGCTTTCTGGTTTCTTCACACACTGGATTAATAGCTGAAAAACAAAAGGAAAGGTGAGGAGGGAATGTTACAGAGGGGTCTGTATTGGCAAGCATGGTACTATCCATAAAAAACCACATTGGACTTCTTGCCGGGTGTGGTGGCTCACGCCTGTAATCCCAGCACTTTGGGAGGCCAAGGCAGGCGGATCATGAGGTCAGGAGATCGAGACCACCCTGGCTAACACGGTGAAACCCTGTCCTTACTAAAAATACAAAAAAATTAGCCGGGCGTGGTGGCGGGCGCCTGTAGTCCCAGCTACTCGGGAGGCTGAGGCAGGAGAATGGCGTGAACCCGGGAGGC